CACCTGCGCTCTGCAGACTACACAGGTGCCTCTCACAGGTGCTTCTTTCCCGCCTCCTCCCCCGCAGAGCTCCGCAGCTCCCTCCCAGGCTGACCGAGGCCTGGTCTCCTCCACAGACCCTTCCCTGGGGCTGCTCTTCCGGGCCTGGGTCCCTGTCCCTTCCCTTTAATACTAAATCCGCCTTTTGGATGTAACTAGGGTGAGGCCCGAGGTGCAGGGGTGGGGACTCCCAGGGACATTGTGGAACAAAACAGACGGGTTTATGGCACACACTGCCAAGGGGAGGCGGAGGGACGTGCGGCGCGGGACGGTGGGAGGCGCTCATGCACCGTGTTTGCTGGACGGTCTAACTTGGGGCGCCAGCTTGCACCAGTGACGTGCTGGGATGTCTGGTCTGGGACATCGGCCTTTGACACAGATAGGTGTCCTGGCCTCTGCTTCTGCCCTCCTGGAGCTGGGCTGGTTTTCTGGTCACGGGGGTCGTTTTTTATGGCCTGTCCCCCAGGCAGCCTTGTTTACCCCCTTATCCTATCCAGCCACCCTGGGAACGTACAAAACTCAGAATGCACTGAATGGTAAAAGTACATCAGGACCATTCGGTTTTTGGAATATGGAGACCGAATAGTTTGTGTTTTTGACTGATTTTTACAACGTGTCATGCTCGTGAGCTGTCAGCAGGAGCTAGCGAACAGCTTTAGGGTGGGCGTTAGGGATGGACGGTTCCTCCCCAGCTCTAAGCCTGCCTCCCTGCAGCCTAGAACCCACATTCCCAGACTCCCCTGGAGGCCACCTGCTTTGGCCAGGCAGAGGGTTATCAGAGACTTGGAAGGGGGGAGAGGGGGTAGTCGGGGTGGGACTTGGGGTTTCTGCATCTCTCCAGACTGCTGGTCCTAACTTCCCGAGGTGGGGTGGGGTGCGGTGGCTTTGTCTGGTAGCTTGGGCCCACGGCTGAGGGGTCGGGCCTGGAGCTGGCTGGAGGTTGTGCCCTGTTCTTACAGTGCCAGGTAACTTGTCATTTTTCTCTGTGTGATGTTGTGTCTTGTGCAAAAACTTCTGGTCATTCCCATGACCAAACTATATTTCTGATATGTTTGGTTTTTACCCACAGTTCCTACTCACAGCTCCCAAAAGCTTCGTGTTTCTTATTTTCCTGTGTGTTGGGAGCAATGAATGTGTTTTTTGTTACGTGAATAGGGTGACTTTGGAAGTACCTATGGCTGGTGGATGGTTCCCTGGGGGGAACCAGTCTTGGGGCCACACCCCAGACCTCCCGGCTAGGCTGCGGAGAGCGCCCAGAGGGTCAGCCAACCTCCACAGGCCGGTTGCGCAGTGCGGACCAAGTCTGGAAGCCTCCACAAAACCCCAAAAGGGTGCGGTTCAGAGAGCATGCAGGTGCTGGGGGTGGTGTGTCTGGAGAGGTGAGGAAGGTCCTCGCCCTGCCCGCCCTCCTGCAGCACACCTGTCCGGAGTGAGGAAATGGCTTCCCGAGTTCTGCGAGCTGCGCTAGCAGATGAATCGCACCTGTGGCTGGGACCGTGGCGCTGTTTCAGGGCAGGGAGAAAAGCACCCCGAACACCCAAGCCTGCCCTCTCTGAGTAGGTTCTGCGGTCCCCCGCATGGAGACAAAACACACCGTAGTGCCCGGCTGTCGAGGCGAGTTCCCAGGGCACCAGGCAGCACTCGGTCCCAGGCCAACCTCTCTCCCGAGCCGGGCCGCAGTTAGGGGACCCCCAGCAGGGACCTTCGCACTCCCACCCCGTGGGGGGGACCCCCCCTGTTTCTTTGGGTGTGGTCCGAGTGGATGTCGCAGGCCCGCAGCGCCGGGGTTCTCCGGGCAATGGGTTGCTTCTGTCTTCCGCTTCTCCGAGGCGCCCCCTCTTCCCTCCGGTCTGCTGTGAAGCCATCCGCCGAGCTTAATTTTCTTGGTTATTGTACTTTTTGGTTTTAAACTTCCCCGTGGTCCTTTTTTGTACCTTTCTATTTGCTGGTGCTTCCTACCTCTTTACAGGTGTTTTCCTTTCAGTTTCAAGCGCGCATTGTTGCTCACGAAACAGTTTTAGTGTTGCTGCGTTTCAGTCTGTGGCACTCAGGGTTTCTGCATCTCTCCAGAGTGCTGGTCCTGACTTCCCGAGGTGGGTGGGGTGCAGCCAGCTCTGAAACCTGAGTCATCTGGGTGTGGGCATCTGCTGTTTTCTTTCATTGAGTTTGAAACCTCCTTGGTTCTTGACATAGTGATTTTTGATGGAATCTTGGACATTTCTGACTTGTGGTAATGAGACTTTGTATGGTAGTGAAACCTTTAACTGTTTCCTGCTGCTCCGGCAGGGGAAGGGGCTTCATGGCTTGCTCCTGAGGGTGGGGGAGCACTCGGGATCCTTCTGGGTCACTGTTGACACCGGAGGGGGCGGGGCTCGACCTCCTTGGGTGAGGGTGTGAGTGCTGGCTCCCTCTTGGAGTCCTCAGACCTGGCAGTGAGGCAGCTCCGCCCTCCGGGCTGGGGGGTGCCGGGCTGGAGGGAGCACCGTGGGTGGGTTATGGTCCGGCATTCCGGGTTGCAGTTTCCCCAGCCTGGGATGTAGGACCCTCCTGTTCTGGGCCCTGACATCACTGGCTGTCTTGCTCCCTTCCCTCCACTTTTTCAGAGTTAGTTCCTGTTGGTCTTATTTGTAACATTTAGAATTTTTAGTTTATTTATGTACACAGAACTGGGGTGCAGGCCAGAGGAGCAGGGCGGCGAGAGGCTTCACCAGAGACAGAGTGGGGAGCAGAACAGGCGGATGGACGAAGCCCACTGCCGAGGGGGCAGCGGGGAGACAGGAGGGGTCTGCTCGCCCTGGGGCCCCTCCCTGGGGGGATCAAACGGGTGCTGCAGTGGCCGCAGCTGTCTTCATAGTGCTGCGCTTCAGCCTGCCGGGCCACCGAGAGGGCTGTGGAAACAACTTGTTACCTTCAAATGAAGTTATGATAGCGAGTTATTATATGTCTTCTAGCTTCGTTCGCTCCAGAAAGTTGTATTTTTGATAACAGGTATAGTCTGTGTGGGGGCTTCTCTTCCCAAGATCTTGCTCGTCTCTGACACTGGATTTGCTTTCCAAGCGAGAGGGAACAAAACGGCCACAGAAGCTCCATGTGGATTTTGGACACTCTGTGCTGTCCTGGGCATTGTTGCGCACCCTCTGCGCCAGAGCATGTCATCGGCGGCGGCACCCTCTCCCGCGGCACAGCCTGGTGGAGCCCCATGGAGCAGGGGCCGCCCAGGCCGTTGCGCTGCGGCGGGCAGGCGCGTGCGCGGTGCGGCCGGTGCGTCTGTGACGCCCTTTCCTGGACCGACGCTGGCGCGGACCCCGTGGCCGTGTGGGGTGTGCAGCTGATGGCGACGACATCTGCCCAGAAAGTAGCCTGGGAGCCGGCGTGCTCACCCCGGCTCCTCGCGCGTGGGGCCTGCGGGCTCCCCGGCCCGGCCGACCTCGGCCCGCCGCTAAGGCCGCTGATTTGCTGTTGCTCCTAGGGGTCTCTTTACGCGCTTACCAGCTGGAGGGGGTCAACTGGCTGGCCCAGCGCTTCCTCGGCCAGCATGGCTGCATCCTGGGAGACGAGATGGGCCTGGGGAAGACCTGCCAGGTACGTGGTGCCGCCGGCCCCGCCGAGCTCTTGCGCGTGTGGGTGTCTGGGGCTGCCGCGGTTTAGTTTTGGCTAGCGCGTGGGGTGCACTGTGAACTTGCCCTCAGACACCGTTTCTTGTTCCACAAAGCCACAGAGAGGAATTTGCAGGCTCTAGAGACAAGTAAGCAGGGAGAAGCAAGCTCTGTTCAGGAAAGCCCAGAGCAGTTTATTTACAGGAAGAAAGCAGGGACCCCGGTGTGCCTCCGGGGTCGGCCAGGGTGGTTCTGTGGGCCCATGTCCAGGGGCAGCTGGGCCCTGAGTTGAGCGTGCCCCTCGGCAGGGTCCTGTCTGGGTCACTGTGGAGGGCAGAGCTCGGGCGCTGCTAGGAAGGAGAAGCCGCCTGTTGGCGCGCGTGGAAGGAGAGCCTGGCAAGCTGCGAAGGTCGCGTGTCCCTGGCCGTCTCTTGCCACCTGTGGCCAGTCCTGCGTCCCTGATCTTGCGCGTTCCTGGCTTTTACGGTGATTTGTGTGGCTTCTCTTTGCCCTGAGATCAGGTGCGTGAACAGCGAGCACCGCTTGTACCAGCTGCCGGTGCCCGAGCCCAGCATTGCGTGGGGGCCGACTTTCCCGCGTGGATGGGAGTGGGTGACTCCTAATGTGGGGGACCTTTTTATTTATTTATTTATTTATCTTTTAAGATTTATTTGTGAACTGGGGTACAGGCCAGAGGTGCAGGGGCGGTGAGAGGATTCCCCAGAGACAGAGTGGGGAGCAGAACAGGCCGACTGCCGAAGCACACTGCTGAGGGGAGCAGCGGGCGGTCAGGAGAGGTCAGCCGTGCCCTGTGGTCACCTCCAGGGCGGGGACTGAACTGGTGCTGAAGTGCCCTTAGCTCCTAGTGCTGGGGGGGGGGGGAGGTCCCTTTTTATTTTGTAAACCAAGTCTTCTAGAAGAGTTTGCATCCCTGTTCGGTCATGGGGAAGTTTAGGGTGGATTCTCATGTAGAATATGATGACCAAGGTGCTCTTCTTCTGTTTCAGACTATCGCTCTCTTCGTTTACTTGGCCGGGAGACTGAATGACGAGGGGCCATTTCTGATTCTCTGTCCCTTGTCCATTTTAAGCAACTGGAGAGAAGAAATAGAGAGGTAGGCAGTCGATGGAGCTGAAGTTTCAGTTTTTTGCACTGATTAAGATTTTATCCTGGGTGATGGGTGAAATGTGATAAAACCACATTGTCATAAGAGTGAATTTATTTCTCCCAGAAAACTGACCTCAGGCAATGCGGAGCAGACTAGGATGGAGGGGGCGCAGGGGAGGGGGCACCGTGCACGCCGTTACTGCTGTTTGGCAGTTTAAAGGTCGGAGGCCAGCGTGAGAGCCCGCGCAGGCCCTTGGGTGTATCTGACCTCCTGCCCGCAGGGGCTCGGTGAGGGTCCAGCGGCTTCTGCGTGCGGCCGTGGCATGTGGCGCTCCAGGCCACCGCCTCTCCTGGCCCTGCTGTGTCCACCCACAGGTTCGCCCCAGGCCTGTCCTGCGTGACGTATGCGGGCGACAGGGAGGAGAGAGGCCGCCTGCAGCAGCGCCTGAAGCAGGAGCCGCGTTTCCACGTGCTGCTCACCACCTTTGAGGTATCCCCGGGTTCCCGGCTGCTCAAATCGGGGGGTTCCCGGCAGCTCAAATCGGGACCTCGGCGTTGTGGTCTACTAGAATTATATTCATTTTTAAAAGAGAAATGAGAAGATAGACATTTATTGCCCCGAGAAGACCTGTGGAGGAACGACAGCGAGCCTCCTCTCGGGGGAGAAGAGCTGCAGAGGCAGAAGTGGGTCCCCGAGTGCAGTTTGTTGAGTGCAGCATTTCTCTGGGAAGAAACCGCGGCTTGCGTCTGAGAGCGCGGAGGGCTTAGCCCCTTCGGTGCGGCGGGCGGCAGGGCCGGCCGCCGAGCGCCGCTGCTGTTCCTTGGCCCGTCTGGCAACTCGGCTGCCCAGAGGCCAGCTCCGCGCAGTGAGAGAGGCCGGCCTGGGCGACTCCGCCCTCACAGCAGCGTCTTCGCTCTTGCAGGTTTGCTTGAAGGACGCGGCATTCCTGAAATCGTGAGTACGCGCCCCGCGGCCGTGGTGGGCTGAGGCCACGCCTCTCCGGCCATTGCGTCTCACCCCTGCGCCCCCCCGCGGGCCCCCTTTACACGCCTGCAGCCGGGGCGCGTCGCCCGGCCGTGCTGACTGGCCACACGCCCGGGCTGGCTGCTCAGTCCCTGTGACCTCTGCGGCCTCCACCGGGACGGCGTCAGCAGGCGGGCAGGCCCGTCCAGGGCAGGGGTCTGCTGCGGCCTGACACAGTTTAGGTGAAGTGCGCTCTTTTCTGGAAGTGACCTCGCAGCAGTTTGTGCTGTAAGATTGACTTGGCACGGGATCTTTAAGTGGGATTCTGAGGAAGTTCTCAGCGCTCTCAGCCCACGAGTGACAGGAAGCATGCCACCTGGACACTGCGGTGACGGGTCGAGGGAGGCGGCCCGTCCCGTCGTTAGGACAGAGTGGGCAGGCGGCGGGCGGGCGCGGGGCCCAGCTGTGGCGTTCCCACACCACCTGGTGGGCTCTGCCACGCAAGGCCGGGAGCTTTCGTGTTGAAGTGCTCTCAGTGTTTTAGATGCTCCTTCTCGTCTGGCCTCTGGGCTGGGTTCTGGCTTCATCTTGTTTTGAAGCTGTGAGGTCTCAGCCACGGAGGAGCCGTGACTTCCAGCCACCATTTGTTTCCTGAGGTTCTGCGCCAGTGAGCGCTTTCTCTCGCCCCAAGGGGCGTGCTTTCTTGTCTCTATTACGAGTGTCCACCGTAGGTTTGTTGGGGATTTCTCCCCTGGGGGGACCTGTTCTTGCAGCAGTTCACAGATACTGGGGGCAGCCACCGGGCTCCCTAAGGGGACATGGCGCGGCAGAGAGTGAACCCTGCCTTGTCTGGGAACCTCAAGAAGAGAAGGTTGGGGCTAAAATGTTGGGGGCTTCTCGTAAGTCCCCAGGACAACCTGGCAGCGGTGTCGCCCACGTGACAGACAGGCATGCAGGGTCAGGTCACCACACCGCTCCTGAGGGCAAAGCAGACACGCAGCCCCGAGAGCGTGCAGAGCCTCTCCAGGGGCCTTCCCAGAGGGTCGGGCAGCGGCTTCACACTGCAGCGGAGGCCAGTCTGGCCCCACGCTGCCCTCGGGTGAGCCATGGGCACTGCCCTCCGGGGCGAGTCCGGGCACGGGGTGCTCTCGCAGCTTTAGGCCGGTTATGTGTCACCGGTGACGCGCTCTGAGGGCGGCTGGGAGTGGCGAGGGCCCTGCCGTGCAGGTAACCAAAGGGAAACCGGAACCTTTTTCACAGCAGCTTGGGACGTGCCAAGTCTCTGGCCAGAGGGTCAGCGGTTGCCAGTGGTCGCCTGCGGTTGCTTGTGCTGGGATCCCCGCCGTGTCAGCCTTGGGGTGGCCCCTGAGCCCCCTGCTCCATCCTGCTTCACCGGACAGGCTGTCATGGCTACTTCACCCCAACGCCTAGGTCTTCCCCAGGGAGTGGGCCCTTGGCTCATCCAAACCGGGCCCGCCCCACAGTGCGGCCACTCTCGGCTCGTGGCCAGCGCCGAGCTCCCGGCTTGTCCTGTGGGCTCGTGGCCAGCACCGAGCTCGCCGGCCTTGTCCTGTGGGCTCGTGGCCAGCGCCGAGCTCGCCGGCCTGTCCTTTGGGCTC